GCCTCACATATCGATTTTGTCCATGAGAAACGTCATATGTTCGTTTCTCTGGAGACCCCCCCACCCCCCCTTAGAAACGTCACACATAGTTATCGATATTTGGTTCTTATAGTACACATAAGGTAATTTTCTACTATTTTTTCGGTCGGCTATTGGCGATGCTTCCGCGAGGAATATGTCATCTTCTGCTGACATACTCTTTTTTTATTAATATATATGTGAACTTCAAAATTTTCAACGTTTCTCAAAACAACTTTTTTTGCATGAAATATTGATAATTTTAGCGCGTATTTCTTGAAATTTGAGTGTTTTCAAATGCAAAGAAGGCGTAATAATATAAATGTATAGGTATAGAACAGGTATGGTATTACGAATATATAGACTGCTGTTTGTATCAAATTGTTTTCTTTTTTATACTCTGCAAAGATAAAAACTATCGATTTTTTCCATGATGTTTACAGAGAAACGTCACAGCTGCCAACCCCCCCACCCCCAAACGAACATATGACGTTTCTCGTGGAAAAAATCGATATGTGAGGCTTCCCTTAGCGCATGTGCAATTATCCACTTATACAGCGTTCTTCTATAATATATTTAAGGGCAAATATAAAAAGACCTCCCTCTCCAATTTTTTAAATTTTAAACTTTTTTTTTATATTTTGACATAAAATATAAAATATAAACCTCCCGCCTCCTGGGAGTTTTTAAAATTTAGCGATGAGAATCAAGGAATTTATTTTATATGGCCTAATACGCGATAATAGTTTATATGATCGATCTCACTCGATTGCACAAGAGTAGAAACTTTGGAGGCCTTTCGGAGATCGTCGGACGTACTCATCACTCAAATTTGTAAGTAGTTTTTAACTGCCAGGCAGAGAAGAGAACTTAAAGCGTAGTACTGTACCATGCATTAAACATAATCTTAAAGCTATTATTATTATATTATTTTTATTAGAGTCTCGTTATCCGTGAAATGTGAAATTGCTTTTTTATGGCACGTGAATTGTGAAACGGTATTTTTTTGTTGTGAAACGTGAATCATACCCCCCCCCCCCTTTCCCACCCTCATTAATCGATGTCGAATTTACAGAAGTGTGGGACTTTCAGTGTTAAGATTGGGGTTTTTAGGGATACCATTAAGGTAATTTGTGGATAATTGAATTATTGAAGTCAAAGTTGTCAGAACTGGTTTGTATCGGTTTGTATTTTGCATGTATACTTCCGGTATTGTTAACCAAGGCAGAACCGAAACACTCAACAGAAAAAAAAACTAAGGGAAACTGAATTTTTCTTTCAATATAGAGTATTGCTAATTTAGAATTTTTTTGTGCTCGATATTTTTTTTTGCTGGTGTTAGTGATGTTCGATTTTTTTTCTTCCATTCGAGACATGCTCGATATTTTTTTTCGGATTTGCGCCGCCCCCCCCCCCCATGAAAAATCAAATGGTCCGTCCCTTAGTAGTTAGCTCTAGTACCTTAGTACGCGTTATCTCATATGCAGACTAGTTGATGCCTCGATCCCTACGAGGGGAGGAAATTGTGACGAAGGAAGGCAAGAAGGCTAGAGAAATTCTACCGGACGAATTCGAAACTTTACACAAATACTTCAAAAATGCGGTCACGTCGAAACCATGCAAAATTGAGAACGCCGGTTGCACAGCAGGGGAAACAGCAGGGGTAAAATTATCACAGAATAGTTCTGTGGGTAAAATGCTCTCGGGTATTAGACCCCGGAAGTGTGCAAACTTCCGGCAAGACAAGATGGCGGAGTCTAGAGATGTGATGATGTAACGTCACCTTATTTGAACAAAATGTCAGATTTAAAACCAGGTCGAAGTCATAAGAAAGACAGAGACAGTATTAGTGGCTCTCCAAATACAGCTGCGTTAAGGAAGATTATAACTACAGACGTTGATGTTCTGCAATTTAAATCATTCCCGGTAAATGGTCTATAAATGTTTTTTTTTAGTCTAGAAGGCGGAGACTACTTTATAAAGTTCTAGTATTCGCCAGAAAAACACTATCAGCTTCGCACCAAAGGCAATTTATATACGCGATGGTTCTTTGCAGTTAAAAATACCGTTAATATCTAAATCTTTCAAATTATGGGGGGTTATTATCTCGGATTAGCGATTGCTCATTACTCGGGGCAAATAGTTCTGCTTGGGGTCGGTGCGATAATTTGACTGGAATTTCTGTTCCTAAGTATCAATTTAATTGTAGAAGTCCACGAATTTAATTTGCTTTTGTCATGTAATTGTTACTGCATTTGTTTATTTTCAAGGATGAAGTTGTAAGCGACCTAATATAATATATATGGGCAGTAAAAGACCATTCTACAATGTGTAAACAGCACCGTATGGATTATTCATATCCGATCAGCTGCCAAGATTTAGTTCGAAACGTAAATTGCAACTTCATGCTAGAATAAATTTTGTTGTTTCAGGAACTTATCCAAGGCATTCAGCCAATTCAATATGAAAAGGAGTTAGCTGCAAAGAAATTATTAATAAATGGTGATCCACATCGGAATTTGCTCAAAATACCTGAAGACAATCTGGTAGGCGTGAGGATTATTTTAGTTATTTATTTTATACTGTTTGCTAAACTTTGACTTGATCTGCGTCGAGTGTCGCGTTTAATATTACATCCATAGCAACAAAGTTTCTTTTAAATTCTCACATGTTTATTAAGTATTCAAATCCTTGAATAGCCTTGCTAATTGTGTTAATATATATGCAAGCTGCTTGTTTTGAATTTGAATTGACAACAATGCCTTAGCATCTTAACATTTGTAAATGACGCATCATTGTACGATCAGACGTCAGGACAGTTTTGTCAAATTTATATTCATTTATTGCAGTTCTCAAGTTTTGAATCTCTTACATAACATATGGCCAACAAGTTATTCTGTAATCTGAGCTCTGTGTTAATTTTGACAAGCCTCGAATAATGTAAACAAAACTCACATGTGACTTTCTCAGCACTTAATCTTTTCATTTTCTGTCGATAAATTGCGGTAAATAAAACCCAGTTGACAACTTTATGCATATTTCTCATTTTGGCATTATTAATATTTGATGTAAATGACTTGTGTGATCATGGCTTTGTTTCAAGAAATCTGACTACAGAATACTTGTGTTTATAAATCCAGGGAATGGAAAATACTGCAGTACAAGTAAGGTTTCAATGTTTAATATAACGTAGAAATATAATTTTCTGAGGTGATTAAAGGAATGATAGTATAACCTTGTGTGTTTAGTTAGGGTTTATTGAAAACCCCCAGACATGGCTCAGACAAAACAGTATAACTCTGGTTTCAAAACAATATTTCCAGTTTAATTTACTTTCATAATGGTTTCCATATAAGTAACATTTTAAGAACATTAAGTTTAAAGTAAAATAGAGAAATATAAACGTTTCGGCAACTCTTTTTGTGTGTATATTTTCAATGCTTTGAATGAAAACAGCTTTATCTATATACTTAGTTAGTAAGTCATTTAATACCACAATACCCATCAGTGGTTTACTAAATGAAATTATAAAATATATGACCTGTGACAACATTTCATATTGGATACTTACTATAACTTATATTTATTTACATGTCAATGTTAATACATATTGTGGCTAGATATACAGTAGGTGAGCTTTGTATTTATATACATACTGATATATTTTAGAGTTCTAACTTTAATTAACAGTGCGTGCAGAATGTCAGTGAAAAATGTGTAACATGGCATAATAAAATACAACTTACTTCTTTGTTACATATAATAGTTTTGTGTGTGGAAACACTACGTAAATTTATTACTGCAAAGCTTTCGATCCGTAAGCCCGGATCTTCATCAGTGCTAATAATATGAAGAAGATGAAGATCTGGACTACATCTTCATCTACTGATGAAGATCCAGGCTTACGGATCGAAAGCTTTGCAGTAATAAATTTACGTGGTGTTTCCACAAACAAAACTATTATATGTTTTATCGCCATGCAAACATACAAAGAACTTCTTTGTTACAATTGCAAAAAAGTGTCAAAATGAGAAACCAGTAGATTTTACATATAGTTGGAGCTTTGCAGGATGTATTACTGACAAAGAAGGCAGAAAGTCTTAGCCAACTGATAGGCCAGTACTTCACTTGGAATGTTATCTACGGAATATGTATATTAAGTAATATAATATCTCTTAGCCAGACCAAGCAAGGCCAGACCACAAGTCTGGGAAGTATATATTTTTTTTAGATATGTCCAGAGAACATAATAATTAACTTGCAAATAATTAAAATTTTTAAAAATGCCTGGATTGAAAATATATCATTAGGTTTCATTGTTTATAAAAACGTTTGGCAGAGTGCTCAATGGATATCCACAGCATAATTAAATAAATTCAAGTACAATTAGTCAATAAATTCCATTGGGCATCTTTATTTAGATTCATACCACAAGATATATAGCATACAAAAGTAGCACCCATCAGATAAATTAGCCTAATTATGACTACTGCAAAAACCTACAGTATTTGTGAACAAGTGGATGAAAAATTAAAGCTTAAAATTAAAATAACAAATTAAAATAAAGCTTATTATTAAAGCTTTCATCCACTTATATATAAATAGTGTAGGTTTTTACTGGAGTAGTAATAAGGCTAGATTATATGACAAGTGCCACATCTAATTGTGGCAAGAAACGTACTGCTGTAAATAGTAATGAAGATGCCTAATGGAATTTATATTTTCATATAATTAATCAAATCATGTAAAACATGTATATAGTATATCCACCTGATGAGTGTGACAAGCTTGAAGCTTTCCTTGTCATATGAAACAGATTAATTGTAAAGCGCACTACAGATACTGTAAAGACGCATCGCCATGTGCGTAATTATCCTTATATCCCGAGCAGTGACTGATGCTGACAGCAGGGCTGTAAATCCTTAAAAATGTTAGAAAAGGGATCTCTAAAGGCTCGATCGCTGTATTTTCATTTTCTATTAAACTTTATTTAACGAGGCTAACACATAATATAGTTAAATATGCTGGAAGTGCGACCAGGATTGAACATAATGATTTTTGAGACATTCTCTGGTTGGAAATTTTTATTCATGAGCTTTCGGCTGCCAGACTGCAGCCTTCAATGGGTAGTTATAAAATAAGTGATTACAGACGACTACGGTTTACAATAATTACAGATCGGAGCATACGCCTACTGTACGTTACGCCTACGCTACGCCTACAGTACGGTTAACAAAATTACAGTGACAAACAAATAACTGGAAGTTATTACTATTAGTATTACAACTAATAAACATGTGGCCCTCAGGATATGCTATGTGTACTTTAAGAGGTAGGTAGTTCCAGCATTTGGCTGTGGTTACCAAAAATGTGCACCCTTCTTCTTTAACTCTGTTATAACTTGTGTGATAAAATTGTATAAAGAGCACTGTGAGTGTTTCTTTTATCTTTTTCTCCTTGATGTAATCTGAACAAGTATCAGCTGACCTTTTATACATCGATCACGAGACAACGTGTAACATCAGCCTCATAAAAAGGTACCCAACCTAGAGTGTTGAACAAGTCGATACTGCAGTGTCGAGGATGAGCATCAAGAATGACTCTCACTGGCACATCGCTTTTGCAGGTTGAAAATCTTGATGCCTATCTATTGGCATCCAAGCTGATTTTTACACTGTTGGCTGCACTGGGCTGAGGGTAGCAAACTAAAAGACTGGTTCTTAATATTTAAATGGCGGGTTATTGATTCCATGGGGAAGAATCAGATGGTTATCTTCGCTTTGACATGTTCACCACAGTTTTTTACTGTACATCTACAGTATATTGAGATAAGCTAAGAGCAGTGAGTTCAGTAAGCACCTTTCACCTCTGAAATCCATTCTCACCCTTATGACACTTATGCAAAAAGAGTCTGTTTTTTATGCTCTTCTGAAAGTCGTGGGTTTTCTCAGAGGACTCCACTTTCCTCCCCCAGGTCAATGTTGACAGGGTGGGATTAGCTCATTAGCCCCTAACTGGCCATTCCACCGTAACTGCACTCTGTGATCAAATATGAGTCATATGGTGGCTACGCCTCTAGGTGCCCGATCGATTTGATCAGATTGAGTTGTGTTGTTGGCAATTCAACTTACTGTAGCTCTGTCATTGGCAATTTAACTTACTGTAGCTCTCAGCTGCAAGTAAAGATGATTACCCATTTACTAAACAGTACACAGATGACAGGCTAGGCTCTTTCTTGATGAAGGCTAATGCCTCGAATCTACTGTTGACAGTAGTTTTCACCAATTGTCAATCCTTGTTCTGGTGGCTTAATTATTGCAGGATTTCTCTTTCTTGCATGATAGACTTGTTCTGTTAGGAATTGAAATCTGATGGACTGGACACCTGTGCATGTGCTGGAAGAAATCAAACTCTGGTGAGCGGTCAGTGGACCCGTACGTACCCAGACTTGTATCGTACCCTGAATGAATTATACCAGGATATTTCTAGGATATTTTCCCTGTACTTTATTCTCTTTTGTATAATCCTCTTTTTGTTTTTATGAAATACCCATATTTCTGTTTAGTCGGTCAGAACAAGAAAAGTAATTTAACTTCATTACTGTACATGTTTGCACATACAGTAACTTGATATAAATACCAATACACAACCCTCGAAATTCGCCTCGGCACTCGGCAGGCAATTCCACCCGCTGTTCCTTAACTTACAAACTACAGTTTCTGTTCGTTTTTTTCTTCTTAAATATACAAACTACAGTGTTCGTTTTTTGTATCACTTCTTTGTTTGAATTGTTGTCATCGACGTTGGGTGAACAACAGAAGATTTCATTCATAGCTACTTTACAAAATATTTAAATTTGAGCTTTTCATGCAGCGTCGGCTTCGGTTGAAATAAAGAACAATCTTGATGGTTTAAAGACGGTACGTCGAGAAACTTTGTTTTATCTTTTAGACTGTCGCGTGATTTTACCGTCAAGTTTATTCTTTCATACAATTGGTTGTAAATTACCACTAACTTTTTAAAAACATTTTGAATAAGGAATTTGTAAAATAACAACAAATTGTCGAACGTCAGAAGTCTCAGAATCTACGCTCGTTATAATATTTGTTTACAATAATTTCCGTATGTACTTTACTTTAATTACAACTGCCGACGTGAATGCCGAAATGTGCCGAAGTAATTGCCGAAGGAATTTAAGATGATATCATTGCGTGCCTCGGCAAAAAAAAATTGCCGAAGCACTGCCGAGGCAAACTCGAAAATTATCGAAAGGCTTCGGCAATTATTTGCCGAGGCAAAAATAGTTGAATTTCGAGGGTTGATACATGGCAATAATATATGTTTCCTTAATTCCTTTCTAGATTGTGAATATTCCGCTTGATATTCGAACAGAGTATAGCAGTGTGCCAAGTAACGCCAAATCTAAAGCTGAAGGATTATTTGTGAAGGAGGTAAGTAACGTTTATTGCTGAAATCAACCACTAATTTGGTTATGCATTGTATTTGTTTCTCAAACTTAGATGATATTGTCTCGTCAACAATCCTCTTAAAAAGAAACCACTACATCGAAACAGGGAGTGTGTATGTGTGTGTGTGTGTGTGTGTGTGTGTGTGTGT